CCCTTAGGTGAGTGTTCTCCCCCCTGGCCCCCTCTGGATTGGGCTCCTTCACTACTGTAAGAAGTGTGTAGTAACAAAATATAGATTCTCTGGTCATGAGGAGCTTGCTGAGGAAAGTGTGCAAAAGCCTCCTGTAGGAGCTCGATCACCAATGTGCGTGCCTCTACTCTTGCAGCGGCAGTGAAAGCAATGCAGAGCATCCTTGCCATGCGGGAAAAGCCGAGGTGGCCTATAAGTAGTTGAAGCATAAACCTCTACCCCATTTTTTAGGACCAGTACCCTGAACGTAATCCTTAGGTTTGCCATGAGGACTTCCAGTCAGATAAGTGTTGTAAATTCCCCAACAGGAATTCAGGTTTCAAGTGTGCAGGGGACTGAGTCCAATCAGGACTGTGGTACATGGGGAGACAGTACTTATGCTGTTTTGTGCCTCACAGCTGGCGCCATGTGTACTGATGGGGTACACAGGTTTTCCCCAGAGGACCAATAGCACCCCCAGTGTCTTTTCTGACCCAAAACATGGTTCAGGGGGAAAGCTTAGGCATTCTTTTCCCACATGCTGTGATTCTGATCAGTGTTCCCTCTAAGCTGAGTTAGTGTGAGCTAGCTCGCAGTTTTTTAGCTTCCAGCTCACACATTATTGTCTTAGCTCAGGACGGATGGCTCCAGAGCAAACTAATGTATGCAACAGCCAAATCACTCACTCACAACTTTGAAGCCAGTAGCTCACAAGACTCCACAGTCTTTTTGCTCACAGGACTCCACAGCTTAGAGGGAGCATTGGTTCTAATCCGAATCCCCCCTCCCACCTCCACCATGAGTCTGGGAATTGATTTCCAAGCGTGGAACTAGGCTGGGAGGGCGGGGTATGAATCTGATTAAATAACTAAAATAAATAAATGTCTGACTGAAAGTCCTCCTCACGGTGATCTTGGACATGACCCATGAACTTTGTATCATGTGGTTAGGCCCTGAGACAACTGTGGCATCGTGGATGTTGACAAACATGGCATGGGCTGTAGTTCGGTGTGTTGGTATGCAGGGCTGCCGTATGTGGAAAAGGAAAACACACTCATGAGATTGTGACGCAATTCCAGCATTCGCAAATTGCAGTTGATTTTTATTTTATTAAAAAAAAATCTTCATTGGAAATTCAGGTCACATGGAGGGGGAAAAAACTGCTTCATTTATTCCAGCCCCTTCAACCCTCAGCCCAAATTTTCCTTTTCCCTGCTGTGTTTCAAAGCACTTTAGCGATGTGAGATATGTGCTTTTGTTTACAGCAGATAACACAGGCGAGACCTTAGGAAGCCTGCCCTCTGACTTCTCTGCCATTGAATTCTGTACAAGCTGATGTTGCCTCCGAGGTGAGACCTTAGTAAGCCCGCCCTCTGACTTCTCTGCCATTCTGTACAAGCTGATGTTGCCTCCGAGGCGTTCATCCCCTCCCCTGAACAACAACACACAATAAACCTTACGGAGGGCAAGGGAGCTCTTAGGAAATAACCTGGCAGCAAAAGCATAGGCTGCCTAGTTCATAAGCAAACCGTGGTTTATTTTTTTTGAAACCAAAGGGTTTTGGGTTTGTCTGCTTTTTAGTGCGTATAACTATTGTAATAAATAAATTAAACTCCAGAAGTCAAAAATAAGTAACTGAAAAGTCCAATGGGGACAAGAAAGCAACGAACACCTTGCTGTCTCTCTTCCCCCTACCAGAATCACACATCCAAATACCAGAATCACACGTCCAAAGAATCCATATTAAGGCCCCTTTTCCCTAGGTCTAGGTAAATTTTAGTCCTACTATTAATACACTATACTTGATTGTCTATTTCTAATATTGCACTGATGGGGATGAAGGGGGGGCGGGCACCAGCCTGGTTTAGCAGCTAAGTCACTCCACTGCTCATGTGGAAGTTGTGGAGGATGCAGCTTGGTGGTGGATCCTTGGCTGTATTCGGGGTTTCTGTGCACACAAGTTTCTGTACCAGAGTTGGCCCTCACTAAGGCAGCAGGCGTTGATAGGCAAGAAGATGGTTTGGCTCTTGGATTAATAGAACCAGAGCTTGCTGGGTGATGAACAACCAGATGTCTGAGCCACAGCAAGCTGTTTCTGATCCCTGCACATGGAGGGGGAAACCAGTCGGAACTCAGTAGCTGGCTATCTTCCTCCTTCCGTCTCTGGGCACTTGAATGGTTCCCATTTCCTTCCTTGCTTATGCAAGCACAGCATCACACAACGGGGAGAATGTAGCTGGCTCTGACATGCCCTGCAGAGAGTAGAACAGAACCACTTGTCAGGAACGGCGAGGAAAACGCTCTTTGCCAGACCAAACCACCTAGATGCACGCAAGCCGTGAGAAAGTAACAGAAGAACTTGAAAATCCGATTAATAATACCTTTTTGCGGTGCCTGTTTTGATAAGCAGCTGTGGTTTCAAACCAGGGGTCATTTCGTAGAAAAAGAGATGCAGGAGCTCATTAGCATAACTCATTAGCTCAACTTATTTGCATATGCCACACCCCCTGGCATCACCGGAAGTGTGTCAGAAGGCAACACCCATTGCTCAGGCTCCACTGGACTGTTTTGGATTGCTAGCTATTGGGGGGGGTGGAATGTGCAGATCTGTCCTCGCAGAGGAGGGAGAGCTTGTGCCTGAATAAAACTTGGTCTTAAAGGTGCCACTGGACTGTTTTGGACTGGGGGCCTGGGGGGAGCTCTGCAGCTTACCTGGCTGCTTCTTACTCTGACTGAGGGCTGCTGGGAGCAGGAGGTGGGGCTTGTTGCATGTGCCTGCCCCCTGGGCTCTTTACTGCCGGAGCTCCGCTCCTGTGCACTCCTGCAGGAAATGACCCCTGGTTTCAACTATACGCTGCTCAATAGAAGGGAGTTGGCAGAACCCACCTGAAACTTGGCTTCGAAAGCCCCACAATCTGGCTGCAAAGCTACTTGCGCTTTGACCGGTGCAGGTGCTAGCTCACAAGGGAGGGGTGGGTAAAGAGATGCAGTGCTGAAGTGGGCTGCATGGGCACTAACCCTAACTGGGGTAGCCATGCGGCCCCAGAAGCTCCGCTGGGAAAGCAGGGTTGTAGTGCCGTTGTGAAGGAGTAGGGAATGGTGTTGTCAGGGAATCTTATCTGAGCTTAGAGCATATTGGCAGCTAGGGCTCTTCCACGTTGTCATTTTGTCACTCGTCTGTCCCTGTTGCTTCAGCGTTTCCCCCCCTCCAGTGTGTTTTGCAATCTCTAGTAATCCCAGAGGGAGCAACACACGTGTGGAAAAGAGGGGGGGGGGACCCCAAAGCAATAGGGACAAATGAGTGACAAAAGTGACAGTATGGAACAGTGTTAGGTTCCACCCAAGTGGCTGCAGGATCAATTCCCTTCCTAATAAGGGAATGCCAGCACTGGAACCTGGCTCAGCATGCCTGCCAGGTGATACCCGTGCTAGGAGGCCACACCTAGGAAGAAGAAGAAGAAGAGATTGGATTTATACCCCGCCCTTCACTACCCAAAGGTGTCTCAGAGCAGCTTACAAACTCCTTTCCCTCCCCCTCCCCACAACAGACACCCTGTGAGGTGGGTGGGGCTGAGAGAGCTCTTAACAGAAACTGCTCTTTTTTCAAGAACAGCTCTTATCAGAACTACGGCTTGCCCAAGGTCATCCAGCCAGGTGCAAGTGGAGGAGTGGGGGAATCAAACCCGGTTCTCCCAGATTAGAGTCCGCGCACTTAACCACTACAGCAAACTGGCTCTCAGCCAGCTATAGAGGAAGCAGTAAAAAGTGGGCTTCACGGGGGTGTTGTTGGAGATCTGGAGCTGCTGAGAACTGTTACGTAAGAACTAAGAAGAGCCCTGCTGGACTCGACCAGTGGTCCATCTAGTCCAGCATCCTGTCTCACATAGCAATCAATCAGTTCCTCTAGAGCAGGGGTGGCCAAGCTTGCTTAATGTAAGAGCCACACAGAATAAATGTCAGATGTCTGAGAGCTGTAAGACATGAACAAATATTACATGTTTTTACTGAGAAATGTGCAAATTTGTTTATTATTAACATTAAATGAGCCTGCCAAAAATAATAACAAAAGCGGTAAAAGCAGATATTGATAATTATATTTTTTTGTCCAATGATATTTGTTTGCTAATGATATTTAAGTTCCCCAGCTGCCCTGCTGGGAGTCGTATAATATGTGTGAAAGAGCCGCATGCAGTTCTCAAGACACAGTTTGACCACCCTTGGTCTAGAGGGCCAAGAGGCTGAGACCTTCCCCTGATGTTGCCTCCTGGCGCTGGGACTCAGAGGTTGACTGCCTCTGAATGTGAAGATTCCCTTTAGTCACCATTGTATTTATTTATTATTAAGTTAAACCACCACATTTTAATCACTCTTTGTGTAGAGAAGTATTCCCTTTTGTCTGTCCTGAATCTACTGCCCAACAGCTTCACGGGATGCCCTCAAGTTAAGAAAATAAGAAGAGCCCTGCTGGGTTAGACCAGAGTTCCATCTAGTCCAGCATCCCGTCTCACACAGTGACCAACCAATTCCTCTGGACGGCCAACAACAGAGCATAGAGGCCAAGGCCTTCCCCTGATGTTGCCTCCTGGCTCTGGGATCCAGAGGATTAGTGCCTCTGAATGTGGAGCTTCCCCTCAGTCTCCATGGCCAGTAGCCATTGATAGACTTATCCTCCATGAATCCCCTTTTAAAGCTGTCTATTCCTGTTTAGGAGCTGCGGTGGCTCAAGTGGTTAAGACGCTGAACTGCAGGCTGTGGAAGGTCAGTAGTTCAGCAGTTCAAGACCCGGGTGCCGCAAGACAGGGTGAGCTCCTGTCTCTAGTTCCAGCTCCTGCCAACCTAGCAGTTCGAAAGCAAGAAATTGCAAGTAGATAAATAGGTACCACTTCGGTGGGAAGGTAACAGCGTTCCGTGCGCCTTGGTGTTTAGTCATGCCGGCCACATGACCACGGAAACGTCTTCGGACAGCGCTGGCTCTTCGGCTTTGAAACGGAGATGAGCACCGCAACCCTAGAGTCAGATTCGACTGGCTTTCGAGCAAGGGAACCTTTACCTTTACCTTTATTCCTGTTTATTGTAAGAAGCCTTCAGGGACTAAAGGGACCTGAGAAGCCTTCTTTATGTATATTGTGGTTTGTTTCCCCCCCTGCAATTAAAGTATATTTACGTTATCCCAGCACCTTGCTTTGTGGGGCTTCCTTTGGCCATCCAAATCCATTAAAAAACCCAAACCCTTGCTTCAGGCAACAGTTCAGGCAAAACAAAGTTCAGTGGCTGAAGGCAAGGCAAGGCACCCACTATCAATCAGCCAGAGGCACTTCCAAGGGCAGGATCAACCAATCACAAGATCACCAGAAGAAAGAGAGAAGAGTTCTCTTCTCTGCAAGAACAAAGAGCAGGAAGTACAAGGCTGATAATCCAGTACCAATAGCTTGTTACTTGCAGGGAACAGAACCTTCCCAAGGTTACCCAGCGTGAGAAGTTGGTGACCCACATGAGAGTATGTTCTTACTCATAAAATCACTAAGAGGATGTGACCGGGGAGTGGGGTGGGGGGGAAGAGGAAGCAAATAGCAGAAAATGTATTTCAATATAGAAACACAATTATGGTCTGACAGCGGATGCCAGTTTTCAGTAATGTGCACTTGGTGGTTCTTGCTTTTGTTTTCTCTGACCTGGGAAAATGCACCAGTTTGGCGATGCAAAAAGATTCACGGCCTTGCCTATGAAAAAGGGCTGGTGAGCACAACTCCAGAAAGCCCTCAATGGTCCTCATTGCCCCAAAGGGTATCATAAGGAAAGGCCTCCTTTCTGGACAAGCTAGTGCCTCTACTCTTCCACCCTTAGTGGGGCAAAGTGGGACTGCGCATACCTCCAAGTTAGTCCTGGCTTTCTTCAGTACAGCATGTGTCCTGGTCACTGAAAAAGCAACAGACGTCATCAGCCTTAGCCTCGACAGCTTCCCTCAACCTGCCCCCCACGTCTTAGTCCTTCCTCAGTTGCCCTTGTGGTGCAAGATTTTCCTTTCTGGGAGGTTATCTGCAATACAGACTTAAAACCGGTGTCATTCCCTCCTCCCTGGGAAATCTGGAGAATTGTAGCTGCAGGAAGACAGCCTGAGGATAGGTAAGGAATGGCCAGCATCACTGCCATACAATGGGTTGGATCCAAACAGGATTTCCCCGGTGAAAGAAGCGAGAAAAGGGTCCCCTTTGACCACCCAAAAAGACTACGCTGGGAATCATGGGGTCTGCATGCGCAAAAGCCATGTGGGACAGGGGATGAAGGAAGGAGGGGAATTGGGTAAGTGAGCAAAGAGATTGGCTTAATCTGGGATGCCAGCCTCCAGGTGGGGTTGGGGGTCCCCTGGAAGTACAGCTCTACTCCGGACTTAACAGAGATCAGTTCCCCTGGAGGAAATGGATGTTTCGAAGGGTGGCTTAGGTCCTGCTCCTCCTCAGGCTCCATCCCCAAATCTCCAGGAGTTTCCTAACCTGGATCTGGCCACCCTACCCCCCTACCCCTCATTGATGGCCCGGGGGAGGGGACCTGGCACCCTTAGCTTGATCCAACCCTGTTTCCATATTTCTTAGATACCGCTAGGGTGGTTAAGATTGTAAACATACTGATGAGAGTTTGCAATATGAAGATGAATATCGTTCTATTTCCTCCTCTACACTCACTTCCCCACCAAAGCCCTAAATCGCTCCAAGATTCTGGATGAGGGAAAAGGGGGGAAAGAATTTGGAGGGATGCGGGAAGAGCCTGACTGTGGGTCCTGGCAGCCTAGGGCCCTGGCCTTGAGATGATGTGACACTCATCATTGTAAGTCACCGCTCCAGCCCTCAGCCTGACCCCGGGGAGGACACTTACAGTGGGCGAGAAGGAAGTTCTCCATGCTGTCCTTATAGCGGCCGGCCTGCTGCAGGCGGATCTCTTGCTCTGCCAGCTTAGCTCGGAGTACCTGGATCTCTTCTTTCATGGATTGCTTCTGAAATGCAAACATGGTTGATGATTTTTATAGAGTGACCACAATAGCTAGGCTTGATGCATTAACCAAAAGGACACAGGCCCTGCCCTTGGGCTTACGTTCTATGGCCTGGAATATGCATGTGACAGAATGGAATGTTGGAATGAACAGTGTCACTTCACGGGGCAGGTGGGGAAGGCCCTATATGGGGGGGGGGGAATCCCTGCAAGTAGAAATTAGCATAGTATGTTAAAGGGTAGGCTGGCAGCTTTCACCCTAGTGTTCCAGTTTGCAGGGTGTTGGCTTTATTTTAAATGGGAAAACACTGAAAATGTGATCTCCCCTCCCCCAAAGATGCAACAGGCCACTTTAGCACTTTGGGCTTCTGCCTCCTCACACTGTTGCACGTGTAGGCCAGGCTTAAGAGACTGGCTACACAATCCTAAACGCTCTTCTAAGTCGATTCAAAGCCAATGGACTTAGAAGGGTTAGGTGCTGCTTAGGGTTACACTGGAGACCAGGGACACCTAAATCATTGCATTGGTGGCTTTTGGTTTTAATAAAAAGGCCTTGCTCCCTTAACCAAGCGAAAGCAGGTTTATTGCAATTTAAATTCACATTCCCTCTTAACCTCCCCCCCCCGTTTTTCTTTCCTTTACCCCACTGTGTTCTCTCTCTCTTCTCCCACTGTACCATACTGCTTGCTTACTGGTCTCCTCTTGCACGACCACAGGTCTACATCCCATCTGTTACCAGTCTTCTTACCCCCACTTCTTTCTCTTCTCCATCATTTCTTCCTTCTCTGTGCAACTCACAGCCCTTTCCTCTGCATTGCCAAACTTCTGTGCTCTGATCAATTATTTTCTCCTTTCTCTATTATTCTCTGCTTTCTCCTTTGTACCCATCTCTCAGTTCACACTGCACTCCTAGTTACTCCTTCTTCTCTTTGTACAACATACCTATCTTCTTCCTCCACCAACACAGGTGCAATGCTCCCTCTAAGCTGTGGAGTCTCGTGAGCAAAAATTCTACTATGCGAGCTACTGGCATTAAAATTATGAGTGAGCGATTTTGCTACTGCGTAAATTAGTTTGCTCTGGAGCCATCCTTCCTGAGCTAAGACAAAAATGTGTGAGCTGGCAGCTAAAAAACTGTGAGCTAGCTCACACTAACTCAGCTTAGAGGGAACACTGCTTTATGTTGTGCATATGTGGACTGGTTACATGAAAGAAGGGACGTAAAGGGTGATCAGTTTTAGGAATGCCAGAAAGAAGCAGGAGACCTGATTCAGGGCCCACCCACTGCTTCAGGATCATCCACAGAGGACTCCTCTGTTTCTGACAGTGATGATGTTGCTCTGAAGAGAGCTTGAGCTTAGATTAGGGAGGCTTTGTGATACATTTGGATGGGAGGGGCTGTGGCTCAGTGGCAGAGCATCTGCTTGGCATGCAGAAGGTCCCAGGTTCACCCCCTGGCACCTCCAGCTATAAAGATCAGGTGGTAGGTGGTGTGAAAGACTTCAAGCACTCCATTTGTTAAAGTGAGAAGAGCGATTTTGAGTTACCTGCTACCTCAGGAAGGATTCCAGAACATTTGAACAAACCCATTTAATAAGAACATAAGAGAAGCCAATGTTGGATCAAGCCAATGGCCCGTCTACTCCAACACTCTGTCACACAGTGGCCAAAAATACCAGGTGCCATCAGGAGGTCCATCAGCGGGGCCAGGACATTTGAAGCCCTCCCACTGTTGCCCCCCCCCCAAGAATACAGAGCATCGCTTGCCCCAGACTGAGAGTTCCTGTCTATACCTTGTGGCTAATAGCCACCGAAGGACCTCTGCTCCATATGCTTATCTAATTCCCTCTTGAAGCCGTCCATGCTTGCAGCCGCCGCCACCTCCTGTGGCAGTGAATTCCATGTGTTAATCACTCTTTGGGTGAAGAAGGACTTCCTTTTATCTGTTCTAACCCGACTGCTCGGCAATTTCATTGAGTGCCCACGAGTAGATGCAAGCAATTCCCAGGAATGGGTAAGCAATGTGCTTTGTGGGCATCTCACACCCAGTGATGAAAAGTTGGAAGCTTCTCCTTACCGCCTGCTGTGTTTGAGCAGAGACGTGAGGCACAGGAAGCACCGCTATCCAGAACAACGACAGGAGGGAGGCCGCTTTCTCCAAGGTTTGGTGCAAGGAATTGGTGTTGACAAGAAGCTGCCTGATGCCCCCTGGACGGAAGCCCTGGAGAAGCAGAACGGGAAACTTGTGTCAGGGGGGAAGCTTCTTGGCATCTCAGTCACTTTGACACCCCCACAAACACTTGTAGTTTATCAAGCTGCCCCACTAATCCTACTAGTCTCTCTTCTAAATCAGCCACAGCAGCAAGGAGCTTTTCTTCTTTCTGTGGCCAGTCGGGTTGACTGCTGCGGGCCCTTTTTCCCCACCCACCCCCTCCATGGCCATTCATGGGGCTTGTGTAGATGCCAGCAATCTCGGGCTTGTATTGCCTTGAACTGACAATGTTTCCTGAGAAATAATCCCAGAAGTGTGGCTGTTGCTATTGCTTTTCAGCAAAAATAAACAGGAGTCTTACGGTCCCACATATTTACCGTCTGGTGAAGATATACGGTAAGAAGTAGAAACGAAGAAAAAGCCATGAATCCATATGTACTATGCAATCAGTACATTATAATGTTAAAAATGATTTTGTACTCTGTATTTTTTATGACTTAAGTTGATGATTTTTAAACAGTAAATATACAAACATTCACAAAAGAATGCAATCAAGCAGGGGAAATACAAATTTCATAGACAAGAGATCAATCACACAAACAAGTTCATAAGAACATTCAAATTGTCACAGTCTATTTACACATCCACCGGAGATCCCACTGATGTGGAGAAAACCATCATCTCAATCTTCACTCCATATAGAACACAGGCAGGCTCGAAGGTGGTCTCTGGTGATACGGTCCCAGCCAACGGGTGAGCTAGCTACATAAGACCACATTTCGTCAAGGCTTTCCCAAAGTCAGAACCGTTTTACAATGCAGATTAACACCGTTCTGTCCAATGAATCAGGAAAAATACTTCTAGATAGCAAACCGCTTAAAAGAATTCTCTTGCCCATTGGTTGGACTGTTACAATTTGAATGTTCTTATGAACTTGTTTGTGTGATTGGTTTCTTGACTATGAAATTTGTATTTCCCCTGCTTGATTGTATCCTTTTGTGAATATTTGTTTGTACATTTACTGTTTAAAAATAATTATCTTGATTTCATTAAAATATGGAATACGTAATCATTTTTGAATATTATAATTTATTGATTGCATAGTACGCATGGATTCATTTACATAACTGTACACGTTTTTTTTCTTCGTTTCTACATATTTTTATTCTAGCAGAATCTTGGACTGGAGGCCTGTTACATCCCATGTGTTTTGTAATGTGACAAAGTGGTCTTCAGTACGAGAAAGCTTGCTCGCTCTGGAATAAGTACCGTAGTCTTCAACATGCCAATATACTTTTGCTTCTTATGGCTCCCAAGTAGTGTTCCCACTAAGCTGAGTTAGTGTGAGCTAGCTCACAGTTTTTAGCCTCCAGCTCACACATTTTTGTCTTAGCTCGGGAAGGAGGGCTCCAGAGCAAACTAATTTATGCAGCAGCCAGATTGCTCACTCACAACTTTAATGCCAGTAGCTCACAAAGTAGAATTTTTGCTGACAAGACTCCACAGCTTAGAGGGAGCATTGCTCCCAAGCAACATGAATTTCTTCCAAGGAATGTTCTGCATTCTCCCCATTCCTCCCACATACACAAACATGTTGAAGGTGTTTCGTAGACTTCATGTTGTCCAAAATGCAGCTGCAGTGGCTGCCTACTGGTTTCCGGGTCAAATTCAAGGTGCTGGTTTTGACCTTTAAAGCAAGCCCTATTTGTTCTGAGACCATCATACCTGTGGGACCACCTCTCCCTTTATGACCCCCCCCCTTGGTGGCTGCAGTTGTCCTCTCGTGGCTTACTGGTGGTGCCGGGGCCTCGGGCTGCCTGTTTGGTGTCCTCCAGGGTGAGGGCTTTTTCAATCATAGCCCTGTCCTGGTGGAATGCCCTCTCAGATGAGACCCGGGCTTTCTGGGACCTCCCTGGATTACACAGGGCCTGTAAAGCTAAGCTTTGCCATCAGGCCTTTCTCGGTTGAGTTTATTTTTGGAGCTTAATCCTGGATCCACCGTTATCAGTTGTGAGTTGTTTGTTTTTTATACTTCGGATTTTTATACTGTTTAAACTATATTTCTTATCAACAGGGCTATTTTTGGCCAGGAACGCACAAGAACAGAGTTCTGGCTGGCTTCAGAGTTGGCCACGCTCACTACAGCCAAAACCTATGTTTGCGTGGCTACAGAGGGAAGGCCTGGAGAGCGACCCTCCCCTGGCCACTCCAAGGCGGGCGGGACAGGGGGGGCCCTGGAAGTATCAGAGCGGCATTTAAATGCCTCCCTGTGCCTTCACCAGCCTGTCCAAGGGCCGGCTTGCCAGGGCAAGCCAAGGGAAGGCATGGGATGTGGCCTAATATGCTAATTAGTTTCTGCTGTTGGGTGTGCTTTATTATGCTAATGAGTTCCTGCTGGGCTTTTTCTACAAAAAAAGCCCTGATGATCAATGTCTGTTTTATGGTGTTGTGAACCACTCCGAGCCCCACTTTGTGGGGGAGGGGTGGTATATAAATTGAAAGAATAAACAAACAAACAAATGTGTTTCTCTTGTTACCCTGCTGTCCTGAGGTTCTTGGCCAGACTTCAGGAGCGATGCCATCTTGCCAACCAGAATCTTGCCGTCCAGGATTTGCTGCTTGAGGGTGCTATAGTCCTCAATATGGCTTATGGCATGGGTCTCCAGCTTGTGCGTATCATTTCCCGAGTCATTCCTAGGGTACTTCCCTGAAAACAAAGCACCAAAATTGAGCCTCATTTTATCAAAGGATGGTCTGGGAGAAGGCTTAACCCAACTTAGTTCTCTCCAACAAGTGTCCACTATGTCTGTCAGCTGCTGATCGCTGAAGAAACACGACAAGACTATTAGATTCCCCTGAAGAAGCCTGTTGGCGAAACACATAGGGAATTTTGGGAATTTTAAATGAGTAATAACATATATTTTTACTTTATTTTGCACCATCGGCCTTGGCCTTGTTTTCTGTCTCTCAGTGACTGTTGCGGCCCTTTTGTTTTCTCCTTGTATCATTCTAGCCATTCTTCCTGATCTTTTATCCCAAACGTTGTGGTAAAAGCTTATTTATAACTATAGATCTTATTCCCTGCGTGTAAACCCTTTCTGATGCAGCTACAGCACTGATATTCTCTCGAATAATGGGGTCCATGACCGATTCCACAAAAGCAGTTGTTCCACCCTCGGTCTCCCATTTCCCCCGGTTGTACTGCTCAACTTCCCACTATTTGCTGCGCAACGGGCATTTTGATCCGCATCTCCCCCCGATTTCCCCCACGTCTTCTTGATCCTTGTTTTTAGGACCAAGAAGATGCAGGGGAAATCGGGGAGATGAGGGTCAAAACGTGGCCGCACAGCAAATAGTGGGAAATTGAGCAGTACAACCGGGGGGAATGGGAGACGGAGGGCAGAACAACTGCTTTTGCAGAATCGGTCCAGGTCTTTGCAGAAAACTTCAGAGGTCACTTGGTGTGGTCTCTCCCTGCTAATCTCTGAAGAGATGCACAGAGTGTAAAGTGGAGGGCTGTCTATTTTTATCACATCACAGCAGTCCTGCGCTCCCACTCACACAGAGGGCTGTTTACCAGATAGATATCTCTGAACCTCATCCCAGTGTGTGACTCACCCTGCAAGAGGGAAGAGAATCGGGCTGAATGAAACATATTGATAAGAACTGGGGGAAGCACTTACCTCCACGACTCCCTATCACGGCCCAGCTTTTGGCCATAGATCAGGGGTCTCCACCAGTGTTCCCTCTAAGCAGAGTTAGTGTGAGCTACCTAACAGTTTTTTTAGCCTCTGGCTTACACATTTTTGTCTTAGCCCAGGCAGGATGGCTCCAGAGCAAACTAATTTATGCAGCAGCCATATTGCTCGCTCACAACTTTAGTGCCAGTAGCTCACAAAGTAGATTTTTTGCTCACAAGACTCCACAGCTTAGAGGGAACATTGGTCTCCACCTTTTCTGAGCCAGCGGACATCTTTGGAATTCTGACACAGCATGGTTGGCACAGCCACAAAATGGCTGTCAGATAGGGTTGCCAAATGGCACTTACCCTTGCAGTGGGGGGGTGCAAGCTGGGGAGGGCGGGGTTTGGGGAGGGGCGTCAGAGGGGTATACTGCCATAGAGCCCACCCTCCAAAGCTGCCGTTTTCTCCAGTGAAACAGATCCCTGTAGTCTGGAGATCAACCGTAATTCTGGGGAATCTCCAGGCCCCTAACTGGAAGTTGGCAACCCACAGGTAGCCCCTCCATTTTGCACTTGTACAGGCTGAAAATGGGCAGCCATTGCTGTAAGCAGGGCTATTTTTGGGCAGGAACGCACAGGAACGGAGTTCCGGCTGGCTCCCGAGTTGGCCACGCCCAGCAGGAACTCATTAGCATAATAGGCCACACCCAATAGCAGACACTCATTAGGATTGGCTACATTAGGGGTGTGTGGCCTAACATGCAAAAGAGTTTAAAAAGCCCTGGGTTTTGACAACGAACAAGGTAAACAGAATAAGAAGGGAAAGGTGGGTGGGGTTGGATGACCACACTTCTGGTAACGTGGTGTGGCCTAATGAGCGGTGCTGTCAGGGTGTGGCCTAATATGCTAATGAGTTTCTGCTGTTGGGTGTGGCCTATTATGCTAATGTGTTCCTGCTGGGCTTTTTCTACAAAAAGAGCCCTGGCTGTAAGATGCTTCCTCTGTGTGAGTCTGTGCCCGGGCTGTTTTGTTTACCTTGTGCCTCACGATTGGCTTGGAGGAACGGAAGAGAGACAGGGACAGGCGGGAAGAGAGGAGAGGAGCTCATGCCAACATCCCGGACTGGTGGAGAAAGGGTCAAATCTGAAAAGGCAAGGAAACATCGGAGGGTGGGAAAAGGGACAAAAGGACACGGAGGCAGGTATGAAGGGGAAGGCATGACCTGACCTGCGCGATGACCTCTGCCGTCTCGCCTACCTTGCGAGTGCTGCCATCTGTAGACAGAAGAGGACATACCAAGGCCTTGGAGAGCGGTACCGGCCCCTGGACTGTATTGCTTCTCCAGCTGCTGCTGCAGGATGCAGTTCGCCTGGACAGCCTGCGCCAGCTGACTCCGCAAAGCCCGGGCCTCCTGCAGGAGATCGCCACCCACACTCGGAGCGGAACCCATGGATCGGCCATCCCTTCGGCAAGCTAAGAAGCAAAAGGGCAGCTTTAGGACCATCTTTCCTACGTTTCAGTTCATCCAGAGTTCAGAGACGGAGCCCCAAATGGCTGAGATAATCCAGAGTTCGCTGCCAGGGCTGACTTGGTCTCTTGTCTAGCTTTATCAGGCAGGGGTCCACAAGCCACCTGCGAAACAAGCAGTGCTGATTTGACAACACCCAAAGGAGAAACCTGGCAGGGAAACAGATAAACAAGAGGCCCTTCCCACATACCTAAAGCACTCGGCTGAGAGCAGAACAGTTACTGAACCCCCAGCAGTATTCTTGGATATGAGGGTTGCCTACCTCCAGGCGGTGGCTGGAGATCTCCTGGGATTACAACTGATTTCCAGGCAACAGAGATCAGTTCCTTGAGAGAAAATGGCTGCTTTGGAGGGTAGACTTTATGGCATTCTACCCCGCTGAGGTCCCTCCCCTCCCCAAACCCCACCCTCCTCAGGCTCCACCCCCCAAAAAATCTCCAGGTATTTCCCCACCCAGAGCTGGCAACTGTACCAGGTACCTCTGCAACAGAAAAAGGAATAGGGTTGTCTATTGCCACTCCTGGGACCTGGGAAACTGGATTTCGCAGTGGGGAGATAAAGAGAGACCCGGGGGGGGTGGAGATGGAAAAACTGGGAACGTGCATGGATAGGGAAGGAAGTGGCTCGGGGTGACAGCTTAGCAAGAGGGAGGTGCCATCTGAGCCTTTCACGGCCTACTTTTCCAGGACTCTGGGGCAAGTGATGCTCTGTCATCTTGGTGCTTGGGGGGGGGGTCAACAGTGGGATGGCTTCTAATGTCCTGGCCCCACTGGTGGACCTCCTGATGGCACTGGTATTTCTGGCCACTGTGTGATACAGAGTGTTGGACTGGATGGGCCTTTGGCCTGATCCAACATTGGCATCTCTTATGTTCTTATGTTCTTATGACATTAGATGGGCACCATGGGGAGACTGGACGAATTTTCCTATATGATCTCAGAAAGGAACAAGAAATGACCTGCTCGGGAACCATCAGTTATCCCTGCTTCGTTGTGAAATCGTGGAAGACACAGGGCAGAAACCACACTTAGTTCTGTGATCATGTCAAGAGATCATTTCCCTCCCCCCCCCAACACAGCTGCTGGAGCTGCTTTTTGTAGGAAGAGAACAGCATGGGAGAGACTCTCTTTCCTCCTCTGCCCTGTTTCCATTAAAATATGTCAGCCCCCCAAGCTCCTTTTACCATGCGGGGTGGGGGTAAAACAGCACACAGGGGCGTGGGACGGGGCATGTTTAGGAGAAAAATGGATTAGGAGGGGAAGAGGTTAAAATGTTCCTTCCCAAAAAAAACAGCCCCAGTGCCTGCCTGTGGAAAAGAAAACAACCCTTTTAAAATGACCAGAGGAATGAATGTAACAGGTAGTTCTGCTCTTGTTCCAGATGCAGGAGTTGTTGCGCTTGAGTCAGCTTGTGGCGGAACAGTCCTGCTCTGGCCTGCAGGCCCTGTTCCACTCTGCCCTCCTGGGTTTTCCCAACACCTGGAGGGGCTTTTCTCCAGTAACCCGCCACCATCACCTGACTTTTGTAGGAATAGCCCGCTGGGAGGGTCAAGACTCCCAGCTTCCCATCCAAGTTCTTCAATCAGTTGACCTTTATTGGCATAACATACAGAAGACTCAGTTTGCAAGGAATACCATCCAAGTTCTGAGGCCTTGCTTCTGTGGCTCCTGCTGCCCAGTGCCTGGTTACCACTGAGACCATTTACTGCCTTGTGCACACCTGGAGGAATAGCCACTTGCCAACTGCCTGCCTTCCCCCAGGCACTCCTTTTAAAATAGTGTGTCCAAGATGGTAGAGGTCTATGTGGTACAGAGAACCTCTACCAGCATCCAAAGTTATAAAGTATTTATTAAAAAGAAAATGTTTACAAGCATACTTTTAGGACAGCACCAGATGGAGCAAGGGATTCAAAAGAAAATGGTAAAACGCAATTCCTCTGTCCCTCTCTCTATACATACCCTATCTGTTGTTAAATATAGGACAGGCTCCTTAGCTTAGAATGTTATAGATATCTACAGAGTTACTATTACCCTGCAGCTTCCTTCAGCTGTCCAGACCAGCACATGGCGATGGCCGCCTCCTCCAGACCTCAGTTAAGAGTTCTGTCTGCTCTGATGGACTCAGCACAAAAGAGAACTCCTTCCTTGCTCCCAGGAGTTTTATCATCTGTCTTTCCCCACTCACTGACCAGGTCAGGCTGGGTAAAAGAAGCTTCCCCTGAAGTCTTCAGAAGGTTTTTCCTAAAGTCCTTCTAGTCCTAATTTCTCCAAATCTCTGTTTCCTGATTGAGGCAGGGAGAGACTGGACCATCATATTGTCTTTAGCTAGACCTATTGGCATTTCTTAAGAGGTAGCTAAAGTGAGGCTGGAAAGCCATTGAATGGACTTCCCCATTCCTGCCTGTTCTCTGCCCAGAGAGAAAAACTTTTAAAACTTCCTGGTACAGGGTTTACTCAGGTCAGACCTCTACCCCCAAAATACATTTCTTCATGCATCTCATACCCTTACCTGAATCTGCCCTCTGCATGGGTCCACCAGGCACTTCTCGAACACATAATTCAGCCTGCAAGGCTTTGAAGAGCAGTTGGTTCTCTTCGCACTGCTGATGCAGCAACATGGCTCTGTGCTGAAGACTGCAAGACATACAGAAAGTCACTCATTCCGCCCAAGAAGTGATCCAGCACACTCTCATCAAACACTCAAGAGCCCCAAGTGGTCAAGGCACGCACCCTGTGGTGGCAACACCAGAGGCAGAATGCTTTATGAAAACTTCATCAAAGTCCCTTGGAAGGGGTGACGTCCCATATCACAGCTTCTCAAGCCCATGAGTGCATCAACGGGGCATGTCCTGCTCCAGCAGCATGAAAACAGGGTTGGAACATTTGAGTGCAGACCCATGTTAGGCCCTGCTTCACCAGGAAAAGTCATCTTTTTGTTCAAAGTGCAGGATTTGTTAAAAAATCGTGTCATTAGTATGGTAGTTAATCTTATCTAAACAACTATTTAAATAGACTTGGGTTTCCTGCTCCAGCGATCAAAGGTCATCTCTTCATTGTGGAATATGGATTTAGACTAAAAAAATATATCTTGGGAGCACACATAAAAAATAGTGAAGGAAGGTGTGCTATAACTGAGAAGTGCTAAAGATTTGTGATATTCTTATACATGCTAACAATCTGGACAGTCTAGAAGAGGTAGATCAGCTCTCTGGCCTGTATGGCAAATGTGACGCCAACAAGGCTTCATTCTATGACTGGTTATCTTGGAATATCAATCTTAGCTTTGTTTGCATGCTCAGTGACTAGAAGGATCTGGGGTGTCAAAAACTCCTGGGAACATCAGCAATTCTTAACTCAACGCCGTTTTACCTGAGGATGAGAGATCCTATAAACATGGCAGGCTAGATTGTTCTTGACCAAGCTGATTGGGTGACCATGCCTTTCACACACACACACACACACACACAAAATATACACAAGGAGGCCTCATCACCATCATCACACACACAACATACAAAAGGAGGCCACTTTGGGGTCAGGAAGCAATTTTCTCCAGGCCAGTTTGGTCAGGGATCTGGGAGGTTTTTTGCCATCTTCTGGGCATGGAGCAGGGTCCTTGGGGGTGTGTAGGGGGGAGGTAGTTGTGAATTCCCTGCATTGTGCGGGGGCTGGACTAGATGATCCTGGATGTCCCATCCAACTCTATGATCCTATGACTTGCATTTTGTCCAGCATGGAAATAGCTGTCCTATAGGGTTGTCTGGGGTCAAGAAAATGGTGCTGGAAGGTTGAAACCCTGCCTTTTCACCAGGGCTTTTTTTGTAGTAAAAGCCCAGCAGGAACTCATTAGCATATTAGGCCACACCCTTAACAGCGCAGCCTATTAGCATATTAGGCCATACCCCCATGTTACCAGAAGTGTGGTCATCCAGCCACACCAACCTTTTGCTTCTTATTCTGTTTACCTTGTTGTCAAAACCCAGGGCTTTGTTGTAGCAGGAACTCCTTTGCATGTTAAGCCACACACCCCTAATGTAGCCAATCCTAATGAGTGTCTGCTGTTGGGTGTGGCCTATTATGCTAATGAGTTCCTGCTGGGTGTGGCCAACTCAGGAGCCATCCGGAACTCCGTTCCTGTGCGTTCCTGCCCAAAAATAGCCCTGCCTTTTCACCATGTTGCAGTCCTAATCTGAATTGGGGCCCCATAAGCAAGCTATTGGGGGTGGGATGCTATACACAGAACTCACACTTTCTTGGCCCTATGCCATGTCTGGTTTGTTGCCATGGAGATGCCTGAACTGAATTCTGGAGTCTGCTGAGAAAATGCTGTAGCACTCCCAGCCATCAGCTCTTACCCCTGAGGACCCCCTCCCCTCACAGAGTTTTCACTTCCCATTTGGGGGCAGGGTATGGTTCCCAGCTCTGGGTTGGAAAATCCCTGGAGTTGGGGGGGTGGGGTGGAGCCTGGGGGAAGAGCCTCAGCAGGGTATAATGCCATAGAGACCACCCTCCAAAGCAGCCGTTTTCTCCCTGGGAACTGATCTTGATTGCCCGGAGATCCATTATAATAGCGGGAGATCTCCAGGTGCCCTCTGGAGGTTGCCAACCCTACGGCAAGGAGATGCTCTCTTTCCATATCTCGAATAGGTCCTCGCTGGCTGTTCTGCTTGGCTCACCTCAAATTGTCCCTCTGCAGAGCCAAGCACTCCTCCTGGAGCTGCACGAGGTCTTGCTGCTTGCCCCGGACTTCTTCCTGCAGCCGCTGCTGCTCAGCCCGCTGCCGTTCCAGCTCCACCTCTCCATCCTGCAGCTTGGAGTGCGATGCCAGCAGAGCTTCTTGCAAGTGCCCCCACTCTGGAGGTCGAGAGGGACAGTCAGGAAGAGGGCTCACCTTGCCGGTAGAATAGCTCATTCGAGTGCACAGAAACAAGAGTGCTCTTGCACCGCCATTCTTTCTTGGGCAAATGCAGGAGGAGGAGGAGCATATATATTCCAACAGAATAGGCTGGAGATGGCAAAGGTCTCCCTCCTCACCCAACAAGGCCTTGTGTAGCTCAGCAGAATCCCTACTCCACCCTCCAAGCTATGTAACCCTTAGCAAATTTCTGAGTTGCCTTCACCGTTCCATGGCTGCTTTGTGACAGCCAGCATGGTGCAGTGGTGAGGAAGAAGAAGAAGAAGAAGAAGAAGAAGAAGAAGAAGAAGAAGAAGAAGAAGAAGAAGAAGAAGAAGAAGAAGAAGAAGAAAAAGAAGAA